CTGTTTTACACATGTCCACCCTAAATAGCTCTTTAAATAAACAGAGATTTCAGTTAGGCAGAAAAGGAACTAAAAGGGCTTCCAATACTGGAATGTTACTCTAAAAAGGGATATATGTTCTCCTCTAGCAATATTTTAACCATAAGATAAACAGCTGCTGAGGATGTTTGAAATCCATCTGGAAGAAGAAATATATTCTGAGGTTCTTTTAAAGCCTACTATACATATACTCATATGTGTTTAAAGCCTACTATACCATACATATACTCATATATATATGTATGTACATTCATATATACACACACACAAATATGTGTAACATATTTATAAATTACCATCCCCCTACACCCAGCTCCTTCCTGAAACCATGTCTAAGTCTCCTGATCATGAGATGAGGGAACACACCAGACCATCTCATACCACTGGACCCAGATAATAGGTTTTTATTTTGTTTTGTTTTAATATCATAGCATTCTAAAATTGGCTTAAAATGCACTGATCAATTTTTCCATATAGCATATGCTAAATTAACCCATGCAGAGAGAACAGAATAAAGTGCCAAAAAAGAAATTAGGGAAACAGATTAAAGAACTTCACCCTCCAATTCATTCTACATACTTAACATCAATTTTAAGTCTCTACTACAATTCTCAGATGCTCTTCCTTATCCACATATGGTACAAATTCTTGGGCCTGGATCTCAAAGCTTCAGCATCTAGCATCATCTAATCCTTCACCATAATCTCCTACAATACCCTTTCTCTAGCCATACTGGCAACCTCCATTCTCCTACACACACCACACACATACACACATAAAAGTTAGAAAGCCCGCAAACAGATACAAGTTTTCCTTTCCCAAAAATGAAGAAAGGATATGCATCAAAATTTAAAATTTCTAATTAAAACTAGTTTTCAAATAATGACCTGGGCTAGCAAAAGAGGTAGGATTTAGTAAACTCAATGATGTCAAAAGCAATGCAAATGATACCTTTCTATGGCAACAATGAATTGTCATGAATCTTTTTTCTGAAGCCACTCTTATTTCTCTGTCCCTATTACCTGTTATCTCACAGATTTGGAACCTCGACCCTCCCCCACTCCCATATGTCTCTTCACTAAGCATTCTCCTCAATAACAAGCCATCTAGTTCCCATTAGAGGACAGTGTGCCAACGCAATTTTAGCCTCAACAAGCTCAAAAATGGGACTTGGTGTGAGTAGAAGTCATCTGCTCAAAAAACTTTTCATTTTTAACACACTAACCTATCAATAGTCCATGTCCACTCTTCACCAAATCACTCTTTTCCATGTGGTCCTGAAAAGTCATCCTTAACCCTAGAGTCTTACAAAGTCATCTTTTAAAAAATATGCTTTAGGAATTTGCTTCAAGAAGACAAAAATCAAAAAACCAAACTAATCAAGAGGTTTGACCTCTAGATTGGATAATAAAATTCTTATAGTTAGTATTGAGTTCACAGAGAAAAGAAGGCTAGGACACAGGTCTTGGTCCTCAAAACTCAAAAATGGTAACTAAATGTCTAATCAACTAGCTAATTCTGCAATTCCAGATGCAGACCCAGACCCAGTTAGCACACAAGTCCTTACACCAATTTTTAAGTTCTGAGAAGTAAAAATATCTCTGGTGTGTCTTAATTAGCACATTTTAATTAATGCATTTTACAGATCTAAAACTTTAAGCAGGCCATGGTCCTAAATCATCTCCAAATGATTCTAACACTGTCTTTTGTCTGTGGCCCAACCAGATTGTAAATGCTTTGAAAATAAGAAACATACCGCTCTATTCCCCTTCTCGGACTATTCCCAAAAGACCTAAAAAGAGCATACTACAGGGATACAGCGTCATTAATGTTCATAGCAGCACAATTCACAATAGCTAGACTGTGGAACCAACCTAGATGCCCTTCAATAGATGAATGGATAAAAAAAAAAAACGTGGCATATTACTCAGCACTAAAAAATAACAAAATCATGGAATTTGCAGGGAAATGGATGGCATCAGAGCAGATTATGCTAAGTAAAATCAGCCAATCCCTAAAAAACAAATGCCGAATGTCTTCTTTGATATAAGGGGGGCAACTCAAAACAGAGCAGGAAGGAAGAGCATGAGAAGAAGATTACCATCAAACAGGGACGAAAGGTGGGAGGGAATGAGAGAGAGAGGGGGAATTGCAAGGAAGGAAGAGGGAAGGAGACCCGCATTGTTATACAAAAATACATATAAGAGGATGTGAGGGGAAGGGGAAAAAAATAAGAGAGAGAAATGAGCTATGGTAGATAGGGTAGAGGAAGGGGAGGGGAGGGAGGGGGGATAGGAAGGGGATAGGAAGGGCAGCAGAATACAACAGACACTATATGGCAGTATGTATAAACGTGGCTGTATAATCAATGTGATCCTGCAATCTGTACATATGGGAATAAGAATTCATACCCCATTTGAAACAAATGTATGATATATATGTCAAGATCAATGTAATGTTTTGAGCAACTAATAAATTTCTGATGTTAAAAAAAATAAAAATTAAATGTTAAAAAAAATTTAAAAAAAAAAGAAACAAACCGCTAATGAATCCCCAAAGCATTTACCATAAAACTGAGTATTCAACTCAAAATTCAATTGATAGCCTGCCTAATGATCACACTGAAAAGTAAACAATTCTGGTATGTTTTCAAAGTTAAGTAGTAGTCAAAACCAGTTTCTGGAATAGCCCATGTAGTGGCCACTTATGAACTGGACTGGCTAACACTCCTGGGCCAAGCCTGTTCTCAGTTTTCACTGCACCTGGTTGGGCAAGAAAGGTCAAATTTCGGTAAAAATTTATGGAGACAGTTCTCATTAAATATGGCAGTTCAGCCAGGCATGGTGGGCCAGGCCTGTAATCCCAGTGGCTCAGGAGGCTGAGGCGTGGTGGGCTGGGGATGTGGCTCAGTGGTTAAGCACCCGGGTTTCAATCCTGGTACCAAAAAAGAGGAAGGGGGCATTTTAAATGCTGGGAATTTAAAGAGAAAACTAAAACATAATTATGTGAATAAAAATTGAGTTCAGGATAATGAAAAAAGTAGCACAGCTTCATCCACAAGAAATAAGTGGGAACAGCTAAAAGCTAAAATCAAATAAGAACGGGATCTACAAGCAAAGCACCCAATTTATTTTCATCACACTTTAACTTAAAATTTTCCCCAGAGATCACTAATGATTAGGCCTACATGAGAGAGAGAACTCAGGGTTGGATTTTTCATTTAAAAGTCTACCAAATTGAAAGTTATGTTAAAGTTAAGTGAAAGTTGGAATTGGATTTTTCCCTGGACCAATATGAAGTGCAGGGATCACAGGTGGAGCAGCGACATGAAGTTGTTTCAGATATTAAATTCCAGCTCCTAAACGGCTGTTTAGTATTGGAAGACCGACAGACAACCTCTCTGGGCCTCAATTTCCCCACTTACAAGAAGAGTACTGTTCAAACTCTTCCAAAACTTTACAGGGCGGTGGTCTGCCATAAAATAGCGAGAACAGAACTGCTCATCAAAGTAACACGTTACTGTTGTGATTACTTATAGAATTACCCGCTAGGATGAAGCTCCCCACACAAGAGATGAAGCCCGAGAGGAAAGAGTTGAAGGGGAAAGTCCCCACGAGGAGACAGTAACCGAACTGCAGAGCTCCGGTCAGCAGTATATACAGAAGATAAGCGTCCAGCAACTTCAGCCGCTGCGGAGTGGAGCTCAAGTACTCTTCTAAGAACCGCGAGATAACCGACACTACTGAAGCGGACATGACTACCACGCTGGGATCTCCGGGCCGCTCGACCCAAACTCCTGGAGAATCCGACGTCCACAACCAAGGCAGCGTTTGCGCGCGCGCAGTGCGGCGGCCCAGCTCCGCCCCGCCCCCAGGAGCCAATTTGCGCAAGCGTACAAGCAGGGCGAGGCGAGAGACAACTAATGCGCAGACGCAAACTGCATCCACACAGTGCGAACTACGGCCAGAAATAGTGAACGCGTCTGCGCACAGGATACGTCAATGGGCTGGAGACGTGTCCTCTTTTTATTCTATTTCCGCCGTCCGTTTGGTGACGCCCACTGTTGCTCTGGCGACAAGATGTTGTGGGAGGAAGAGGGGGAGAGGTTTAGCAGCGCACTGAGTTGCTAACCACAGCGTTCCGGCTCTCTTGGGTCCTCCTGAGTCCTCAAAAACTAAATGTTTGAATCTACTTAGAGGCAATCTTTGACGCTCTCGGGGTTCGGTACCAGTCAAGCCTTAATTCTATTAAGGACTCTGCCAATACCTATCACAAATCATTAGAGCAGGTCAAGTTCCTCCGTAATGAGAACCACCGCGGTTAATCCTTGTGCACGCACCAGGGTAGAATTGTTTGGGGGCGAAGGGGGCTTGACTTCTACAGCATCATAAACCGAAACTACGAGTCTGGCCCTGTAACCTAAACCTGCAGATTCATTCACTCAACATTTATGGGGCGCCTGGCCTCCTAGCTTGGTGCTAAATTGTAGAGACCTTCAAGTGAATCAGATAATACAATCGCTTCTTTAAAAGAGGCATTAAGAGAATGGTCGCTTATCATGCTTAGATCATGTCTTCAAGAGCTCTCCGCCCCCATGCCAGCGTCTAGAATCTGGTGTGATATCCCAGGGTGTTAACACTGAAAGGCCCGCAAGTGCATGTCTAGTTCAACTCTGCCCTCCAACTCATTTTGCAGAGGATTCTGAAATGAAGGTTTGAGGGTTTGTATCTTAACAAAACGATATTAACTATTTTTAGCGTTTTAACTTTTAAAATATCCAGGTCCTGCCTTTTGACTTTCGTTGTCCTTATAATCTCAAATTCATCTGACCTAAACCTACTTTGCCTTTGCCTTTCAACTCCAAGCCTTCTGGCACATAACCGGGAACTTTATTTCAGCTTCTAAAACTCTGAGCTGTCTTAGGTACAGGAGCAAAATTTCTAAAACAGCAAGTGAACAACTTTTCTTCATTTTGACTTTTATTTGCGTTTAGACTGAAAATTCATCAGCATCAACAAATATATTGATTTTCAGTGATAAACAAAGGCTTGCTTAAGTTCTTGAAAAAAAGAGAAATGTCCTTAGGAAGTTTTTCAGTTTATTTGAAGAGGTTTTTACTGTCATATGAACTAAATTCAGCTTAAGCCCTCTTATATTGCTCTGAAAAAAAGAGTCGATAACCAAACTGGTTCCTATTCAACATAATATGGTAGAAAATGTTAGTTTCTCTGACAGTTGAGCCTTTCTCCCTGCCTCATCAGCAAGTAGAAGAGTAGAATTCAACTTCAGACTTTACAGGCTGGGCAGATGCTTTTTAATTATTCAGGAGTGAACTTCTCAAGGGGTTTCCATTCCATCCGCCAGGCTCCTTCCAGCACACTTCCTTATGTTTTCCTGCCTTTGATCCTTGTCAACCATCATTATTAACATCTTCATGGGAACTCCCACAGGAAGAAAGCAGAAGAGATGAAAAACATCAAATTCACTTACTGAATGCATCCCTTTCTGAGAACTGCAAAGTTCCACTAATATAATTAACTAAAACTTTTCTGGAGTACTTAAAACAAGATAAGATCTTATTCCTTGTTCAGCTTATGATTCTATTTAACTGATATATCAATATAAAGTTGCTAACACTGGTGTTGGTTTTAATTAGTATAAATTAGAACATCTACATAGATATATATAAATCAATCTCTCTTTCCTTCTCTCTCTCTCTCTCTCTATATATATATATATATATATATATATATATATATATATATATAAAACTTTATGTGCACAGTAATGGAGTTAGATTGCAATCTCTTGAGTCATACAAACCTAGATTTGAACTTCAATTCTAAGATTTACTAGTTATCTAGCCCAACAGGTGAGTCTGACAGTTTCATTTTCCTTTTCTACAAAATGAAAATAACAATATCTAAGTCACTAGAATGTTGTATGGATTAAATGAGATCATGCTAAGCATTAACCACTTAGCATTAGTGGTTGACACACAACAAATATTCAATAAATGTTCAATACATATTTACTCTTATCATTTACATATATACATGTATTTACATATATATTATTAGTTCTGAAAATCAACTATGTCTACTTCCCCTATTTCTCTGAATAATTAAAAGTTGGCCACACTCCAAAGTCCCAGTATTCTAGGCACACACAAGATGGCACTAGAAGAACTGCAACCCAGACAATTCTAAAAGGCCAAATCATATTTATAAGCTGAAGCATAAGTCAGAGTAGACCTTAGAGGTTTTATTACAGAAACAATTAACATCATAAAACAATGGGAGAGTAGAGAGGCAAAAAGGCTCCCCCTCTATGGGTAAAGTTCATGGTTCTACATCCTGTCACTCTACAATAAGAAAGTACATTCCTTACTAAAAGAAACACAAATCCTTCAAAATTTGAGTAGAAAAGGATTATTTTTTAAAAAAATCTCAGTAAGAGTCTCTTTTCCAATTCTTATTTTTTTGTATTTTCTCTTTTGCTTTAAGAGTTCCTGTTGCTTCTTTCTACTGTGATTTCTTGTTAACAGTCCATCTTTTAAACTATGGCCCTAGTTTGATGAAAACCCCTCTTTTCCTTGTTTTCTAATAGAACAGATAAAATAAAATAAAATAAAATTATTATGCTCAAAAGGGAAATTTTTTAAGGGGAATAAAATTGCAGACAGCACAAAGTCAAATTTCTAAAGTATCAGGTTTCTGATCCAAGTCCTAGTCAAGCAGCAGATATCTTCAATGAACCCATATTCCTTCAGGCTTCCAGTCCCTGAGGTAGTGGAACAACTTGCAAGCTATTTTGTCTGATTTCCCACCCTCCCAGCTCTTTGAAAGTCCCATAATAGCCTCAATTTTGTTCCCTTCCTAGTACCCAGAAGAGAGTCTACCATATTTTCCTTTACAAGGGCATTATTAACTCTTGGTTAATAAGAGTTATTGTACTCCCTGCAATGGGGAGCTGAAATCATCAGTGCCCAAGCAACACTGCACTGTCCAGTAGAATTTTCTGTCCTTGGGTTGTTTAATATAGCAGCAACTAGACACACATGGCTTGTGAGCACCTGAAACATGGGGCTAATGTGACTAAGGAAATTTTGATTTTTATTAATTTAAAACTTAGTAGCCACATGTGGCTATCTTTGGACACAGTAACTTTAGAACTGTTTCACTGAGTATCTACATTTAGTCTTTGGACACAGTAACTTTAGAACTGTTTCACTGAGTATCTACATTTAGTCTAAGAATCACACCTTGTTCATAGTTCATTCAAAAGGAAGTGACACCCATTTGCAAACAAAAAAAAAAAATCATCTGTTCCTGCAAGGCCAGAGCTATTAGTTTATCAGCTCCACATTCTTTTGGAATGTTTATATTCCAAACAGAAAAGAGAATTTGTCAAATTAATTTCCATTCATAAAGGCCACATTAATGGGTTGGGGTTATAGCTCAGTTGGTAGAATGCTTGCCTTGTATGCACAAAGCCATGAGTTCAAACCCCAGCATTCCCCAAAAAACAGTCACATTAGTATGTTATTATTACTATTTTGGTACTGGGAATTGAACCCAGAGGCACTTTACCACTGAGCTTCATACCCAGTCCATTTTAATTTTTATTATTTTTATTTCCATCTGTCTTTATTGATTGATTGATTTTATTTTGGCACTTAAAATTGAATCCAGGGGTGCTTTACCACTAAGCTACATACTCAGACCTTTTTTATTTTTTATTTTGAATCAGAGTCTCACCAAGTTGCTTGAGGGCCTTGCTAAATTTCTGGGGCTGGCCTTGAACTTTGGATTCTCCTCCTCAGTTTCCTGAGTCACTGGGATGACAGATATGCACCACCATGTCTGGCCATATTAATACTTTAATCATATAAAGTCGCACATGTTGGAGTTATAATAAAAATTATTCTTTCACATTTGTATATGATATGTCTTGTCTGGAAGGCAAGAAGAAAAAAGTCACCTTACATTTTCTCCTGAGAAGCTTTTCTAAAATAGGCACTGAGAGTCCTTTCCACTTTGTACCATTTTAGCAGATCCAGCCTAATCCTGAGTTATCCCAGCTCTAGAGATACCTTAAGGGATCTAATAACATTAATTACAAAAGGCATCTTCCATACATTCAAATTTCCTGCTTCCAAGAAAAGCTGATTTGGCATACATGGAAACAAAATACAAATGCTTTTCTGCACTACCTCCTGAGGTAGGGTCTAGAGAGTTTTAATATCAGTTTTGCCCAATCATCTGTACTTTAAAAAACTTACATCTTATAGATTCTCAGAAAAGTGGAACATTTTGCTATCCTGTGTCAGAATTTCCTACATGGCCCAATTAAATTACAGCTTCCAAAGTCCTTGGCACCTGGCACATGGTTTTATAAGTAATTGTTTATATGCCTCTGCCTCCTCACTAGACCGACCCCCCCCCACCCCTGCCCAACCCAGACCACTGGGGTTTGAACTAGTGGCCCTCTACCACTGAATTACATCCCCAGACTTTTTTTTTTCTTTTTGACAGATTCTCCCTAGGTTGCCAAAGCTGGCCTCACATTTGAGAGTCTCTAAAATAACTGGAATTACAACTCACCTCACCCAGTCTCACCCAGCCTCACTAGACTTTTCATACCCAGCCTCACTAGACTTTTCATCCATTCATTTATCCTATAAATACTAACACCTGATCTGTTATACATATGTTTTAGGTACTGGGAGCAAAACAGAGAATCAGACAACTTAATCTCCAATTGAGGAAAACAGATAATAAATGAGTAAAAAATATGCAAGATAATTTCAAATAGAAATAAGTAATATTAAGAAAATAGCATGATGGGACTCTTTTAGACCCTTTGGTCAACAGAGGCCTCAGAAGAGGGAAAGTTTGAGCTGAGCTCTGAATACAAAATTGCCAGTTCTACAAAACCAATAATAATATTGGGTGGCAGCATATGGAAAAACCAATGTGTAATTGAAAACCAGTGAATTATTTCTTTCCTTTTAATTTCCTTAATTGGTTAATTTATTTCCTTTTGATACTTGCATTCATAATCCCCACCATAATGCTTGACCTTGAATAATAGAAACATTTTTAGCACAAGTAAGGATACTAAATGTTTATTTGAATTATCTTAGTTAATTCTCACAAGGCACAAGCTTGAAGAAGAAATTAAGAGATACAAAATAACTTGCCCAAGGGTGGGCAATAGATAAATGGCAAAGCCAAGATTGACCTTAATCCATCCTTCTGACCCTGGAACCTATGTTTGTGTTGAACCCAGAGGCACTTTACCACTGAGCCATATACCCAGCCCTTTTTATTTTTTATTTGAGACAGGGTCTCACTAAGTTGTTTAATGGGTCTCATCAAACACCAGCATCTGCAGTACTTCCAAAAATTTTTAGCTTTTAGTATGAAGACAAATCGGCTGAATTAGAATCTGAGGGTAGGGATTGGAGATCTATCTTTTAAACAATTCTTTAAGATGAATCTTATGCATGCTGAAGTTTAGGACTCCTGTGTTTGGTTTTGCAAACTCCTAGTCCCCCTAAATTCTACAAATGCCAGTTTTTGTAAATGTTAAATATTTATAAATGATCAGTTTAACACTTTACGAGAAAGAAGAAATCTTGGAATCTCTCAAGTCCTGCAGGAAAACTTAAAAGAAAATTGCCTTGGAAAATCCCTCTACACCAGCATTCTCCCACCAATGCTCCACTACCACTCCAGTCTGGTTTCATCCTAACCAAGGGGATGATCTGAAATCTGACAGCTCCAAGGACTTCAAGCCCTGTTTACCAATTCAAGTGAATTCTGCAGCCAGCTTCAAGATTTGGTTCCTCTACTGAGCCAGCCTGAAGTACACTCAGGATCTCTAGGGTAAGCCAGTCACCACACCTCCCATGTCTCCCACCCTAAAATATACTCAAAGCACTCCTCTCCTCTGGAGTTTGAGATCTTCAAACTGATGGAGACCAGAGTTGAGCTACAGACTCATCCCCTGAACAGAGGAATGTCTGTTTTGTCTGACATCATCTAGGTTAAGGCCTAGTAAGGATGCACAGTTATGTCCAAATATTGTATGGGACATGCTTATTCTTAAAAATTATTCATTTGGGGGCTGGGGATGTAGTTCGGGGTAGAGCACTTCCCTAGCATGTGGGAAGTCCTAGGTTCAACCCCCAGCACTTTCATCACAAAAGAAAATAAAAACTGAAGTTCAAATTTACCTAGGAGTCCCCTCCCCCTGTTTTTAAAAATAACTTTCTAAATCTGACAATCTACTTGGGGTACAAGCTCTTAGGCTCTTTGTAGGATCAACCATTGATGTTTCCACAAATATTTTAAGCTTCCCATTAGAAGGAACATCAAGAGAAGACATCTGGGGAAGGGAGCCATAAAAGGAAGCCCAAAGCATGTGTTCCAGAATGCAGAGGTGGTTCTGTCATTTTAAAAAATTTGCCCCATCATCCCAGATGTGGAACACTTATAAAAACTTTAATATAATATGTAGCATAAAATTATAAGCTAATTATAATATCATAAGCTCTATTTCCAACCTATTTTAATATACTCCTGTCAATTACGTGGGCATATTAGCAGAATTGAAAACTTGGGACTTCGTAGTTGATGAGAGAAGGGAGGGCTGATGGAGCTTCTGTGAGGGACTTTGAGTTTTAGCACTACCCATCTCCCGTCCCCCAAATGTGTGGCCAGGATTACTGTCCTATTTTGAGACACCTCGCCTCACCCAGAGTCATCTCTGCCAGTAATAGGAAGCAACACCAAGGGCTCCACAGCTCAACCCGCAGTGGCTAAGTTCACCTGTCAGCTGCCGCTGCCTGCAGATCGCCGGGGCCACCAGGACCGCGTTGGCCCCGCCTCTGGCGCCGGGCGCACCGGCCACGCCCCCTTTGTTATCCGATACTTTTCTGGGTCAGCTGGTGCTGGCGTCAGGCAGAGGGATGGGCTGGCTCAGCTCGACCCGGCAGGGCTTGTTTACTATGGCTGATGATCTGGAGCAGCAGTGAGTTAATCCTGTCTCTTTTCTCTTTCTCTCTTTCTCTTTGGGCCATGATCCTGGGACTGTCTGTGGCTGAGGAACAATTTTAGACACCTTTCCGTCTTTCCTTTCTCAGGTTGGCTTCCAGGGAGGGCTGGAGGGGTGCGTTTGCTTGCTTTGCTTTTGCCCAGAAGAGGCGGGCAGAGCCGAGGAAGCGATGGTTGATGAGCTTGCTGCAGCAGCTCAGTGATTTTGAATTTTCCAATTAGTCTTCACGATTGCCCCTCATTTTCCTCTACAGAGGGGTTAGACATAGTGGTAATTATTGCACGAGATTCCCCGAAAGCAAGCTTTGGGGACGCGGGTGCCGGGGTAGCGGCTGAGGGTGCTTGTCCCGACTTGCTTCAGGACTATAGTTGTGGGTGTGAAAAGAGTCTTTTAGCTCGACGAGGAGAAGGCGTGGGAAGAACGCTGAGGTCTCCCCTGCGCGGGATTGATGTGAAGTAATGGGTCTGAGAGTTACTTTAGTTCTCGCCCACCAAGACACGTTGCTGCTTACAGTTCTATTGACAGTGCTTTTAATCATCATAACGACGTCCTTAATACAGTGGTTTCAGAATTAGATTTGGTGCTTTTTTTTTTTTAAAAGAAACTGTTTCAAGGGCATCAGGTTTAGGATGCCACCTGTAGGTGGTGTGACTAGCAGTTCGCAGTCTGATGGAAGCAAGAAAAAGTTGCTTGGAGAATGACTCAGCTCCAAACCAAGCCTTGGTTTCACAGGAACAGGGCCTTGGACTCAGAATTCACTCTTTCAGACCTGCAAAACTGATAGCCTGAAAAACTAATTAAATGTATCACAATAATAAATAGCTTCCTGGTCTTGAAGGAACCTCCCTAGAGGGTTGCTTTCAAAGACTACTTTTCCAAGAGGAAACTTATAATAATTTAGGGAAACAGAATATTAGAGCTGAAGAGATGTAAGATGTTCAGCTGTATGTTACAAATAAAGAACTTGGTGCCCTTAGAAATTGGAGACTTGACCAAGATCACAGAGGTCTAGAACAGGATTCTCTCCCAACACAGAACTTCTGCTTTACCTGCTTCAGGATGAAAGAGACCACCCTGGCCAAGTTAAGTTGATGCTAAGTGGCTTCTCTGCTCCTTGCCTTAGCCTTTACCTCCCAAATAGCATTGAAAAGATACAGTGTGCAAGGCACCAATTCCTGGAGTTTACCTGTAAAATTTTTGGTAAAGGAAAAAAAGGTAAAATAAAGCTCTTCCCAAGGAATATCTGCTGAGCAGCCTATGGTGCTATTCTATGGGACAGCATTTCTCTGAGCTCTGCTTTGGACAATTATAGGGCAATGTGGGGTCCACATGTTATGATCTGACTTTCGACCGTCTCTTTGAATGACATGGAGAGAAAGATTGGCTTATGAAACTGGCAAAATTTTGTTGACTTGGTCCCCAGGCTTCAATCAATCAGAAAATTTTGGCAGAATATTAAAAAGGATTCTCTCTCTGTGTAAGATTAGATGGTTTGAGAATTCTTGTCTGGCTAAAACCACTGATGTACCACTTCACCTGCAACATAAGTTTTTCTTTCAGACCTCCAACATTCTTGATAGTTATAACTTGCAAGAGAGCCTGTGATTTAACTGAAGGGAAAGAAGGTTTGTTGAGAGTTTTATCTTGTGCTAGGCATTATTTTATGTGCTTTAGATGGATTGACTCATTTAATACTTTCTATAATCCTATGAGGTAGGTACTGTTATCTCCCTTTTAAAGATGAGAAAACTGATACAGAAAACTAATATGGCTGAAGTTACATTGTTAAGTGATAGTGGTGGAATTATAACTCTGGCCATCTGGTTTTAGATCACACCTCCTTTCAGAAAACACACACATGAAGATGTGGTTATATATTGTGATTGTTCATGAATGGCCTTGAAAACTGAGACCAGAAGGTCCAGGGAGGAGGTAGTGAAGAACCTGGATTTGAGATCTGGATTTTTTTTTTTTTTTTTTTTGAGACAGGGTCTTTCTAATATACTATATGGCCTCCCTGGGCATCAGTTTTCTCACCTGTAAAATAAAGAGGCTAAACTCTACTTCTAAGGAAATATCCTAATTGAAAGTTCTGGGCTTCAAATGATCATGAGGATATCCACCATGTGCCAAGGGGGCTGTGGTTATAGCCTCCCTCAGAATGTTCCTGCATTAATTATACTGATGTTCACGGGCCCTTCCTGAAGCCATCTGTCCTGTAACCCCCTTTACTTAGGCAGAGTTAAAGAAAAAAGAAATATCATGTAGGATAGTAAAGGAAAAGCAAAAACTGTCATTCGTTGAGTATCTAATTTGTGGTGGGCACCTGATGAGGTCCCTTACATATCTAGACAAGTTAACTAAATAACACCTGTCTGCTCATCAATGTTAGTACTGTGATTCATATCCAGGAGTTGCTCGTTTGTTTATTAATTCCAACACGGGTGATTTTAACCTCTGCTCTGCAATGACTTAAAGTCACTGAGTATGGAGGAAAAAGCAGGATGGGTTATCTTATGTTTTATTGTATTCTGTGTGTTGAGGACATAGGCAAGTCATTTTCTACTCATTTTACTTTGCTCTTGGAAAACAAGACCAAAATTAACCTGTGTCCTGTGTATGAAACATAGTGGGGTTTGAACCCAGTTCTACTGCCTTGTGCCTGCCCAATCTCCATGTTCTGGGCTAACTGGGTTACCTGAGAGCTCAACTGGGCATGGGCACATGCTTCACACTTGTAGGAGCCTGAAACAGGGCCAGGAGGGCAGGTGGCATGGAAATTGTCTTTCTAACCCTAAAGGAACAGCTAGTCCTAAGACTAGAAAAGGATAATTGAAATATTAGTTAAAAGTTGCTTTCTCTCCCCTTTTAATCTCCTTGAACATAAATTATGATAACCAGTAACAAAGGGGAGTTGAAACAAATGAGATAATAAATGAGAAAGAGCTTTGTCAAGTTTATGGTATCTGTTGAAACAATGGGCATGTTGTTGGTAACAGACATTTCCCAGGGAAGAGTAACAGTCTATCAGGCAGTAGAGTATTGCTGACTGCTATCGTGGGCAGGTCTCCTGAGCCTGAGTAACACCCTGTGCTCTGATAAGTCTTCTATCAGCAAGGCTGAGAGCTTCAGTATTTCCTTTCCAATGTTGCCAGTAAACATCTCCGTGTCTCCTTGTTCTAGGCCTCAAGGCTGGCTGAGTAGCTGGCTGCCTACTTGGCGTCCCACTTCTATGTCTCAGCTGAAGAATGTGGAAGCCAAGATCCTCCAGTGTAAGTAGAAGGTGCAGCTTGTCCTCCCTCCCTTAGAAGGTCCAAGAAAGATGCAGGATCTGTCCAGAGCTGGGTACACTGAGCCCACTGAGATCTGATTAACAGTATATGGGGTAGAGGAAAATATGGCAATGATCTGAGGGAAGATTCACACAGAGAACTCTATATTCTATGGTAGTGGTTCCTCGGCTTCTCCATAGCCATCCAGCTCTTACCACATCCTACAACTTCACCTCAATCCCTAATGTGTCAACACACACAACACACATGCACACTTCTCTCATCCCTCCTTCCTTATCCCCATTCCTCTCTTCCTCCTTCTCTTTTTCTCTTAACACATAAGCTTTTATTAACTTACCATCTTCCTTTCTGAGGATCAGCAATCCTTCATTCTCTAACATTGTTTCCTGTGTTCTACCCAGCTGTGGTCTACCACCTATCTACTTACCACAGTTTGAAACTCTCACAGACCAGTTCTCCTAGACATTATGTTGAGGCAAGGCATCCCATAATCAGCAGTAGCTAATGGCTCAAACAAGATCTTTGGGCTCTGAGTTGACCTTGGCTTCTCTCCTGTCTTCAATCTGCCTAGCCCATGATAGTCCCCACCCTGCCCTACTACCCACAGCCAAGATTACCCTCCTTATCTACAACCCTGCCCAACAAAATGGAAAGATCCAGGCTACATCACCCAGACAACTCTGTTGCATGATGATAGAGCAAAAACTACCTACCTTGGTGTCTAAGCCCAAGGCTCAACACACGCCCAAAATTCCCTCCACCTGGCTGCCAAGTCCCAGAGTGATAGATGCTGGTACAACCAATCTGGAAAGCCAGTATGAAGATTCCTTAGGAAACTTGGAATGGAACCACCATTTGACCCAACTATCTCACTCCTTGATTAATACCCAAAGAATTTAAAACCAGCATACTATATTAATGCAGCCACATCAATGTTCATAGCAGTTCAATTCACAATAGCTAAACTGTGGAAGCAACCTAGATTGCTTTATCCTTCAATAGATGAATGGATAAAGAAACTGTGGTATATATGCACAATGGAATATTACTCAGCATTAAAAGATAATAAAATTATGGCATTTGTAGGTAAATGGAAGGAATTGGAGAATATTATGCTAAGGGAAGTAAGCCAATCCCAAAAAACCAAAGGCTGAATGTTCTCTCTGATCCATAATGGGGATGGGGGAGATATGCAAAAATGGAGGAATTTTGGGTGGAGGGGAGGGGGCATGGGGGCAGGAAAGATGGTGGAATGAGATGGATATCATTACTCTAGGTACATGTATGACTGCACATATGGTGTAATGCTACATCATGTACAACCATAGAAATGTGAAGTTGTGCTGCAATTGTGTACAATGAATCAAAATGTATTCTAATGTCATATATACCTAATTATAATAAATAAATTTTTTAAAAAGTGATGGATGCAAGAGCTGCATGGCGTCAGTGGTGTCACTGCCACCCTGGGCCCAAAGCAAGCTGAGTACATAACATCAAGGAATAATATGGCTCCTCTTACTACTCACAAGCAAATGGTATACA